TACGTGAGGCTATTGAAATTAAAAAACATCCTAATTTCAATAGAGAGGGAGGCTGGGTACTACCACCTGCTTGGGATCCTGTAATTCATAAAATTAAAACTAAAACCAAGCATACCACTGTAAGACTTCAAGACACAGTTAGTTCATTCTGCGTAGATCGGACCAAAATTAATAATTAAAAAGCTGAAGGTACTCCGGGTTAACTTTGACATCGGGACGTCAATCACCTCAGTCCCCCGTGATCACGGTGGCTGGAAAGCAACCGAAACGTCGGGAATATAAAATAAGTAAATTAAACGCGATAAAATCCGTAAAAATAGTTTTATTCCATGCAAACTTATATGGCATTCAGGGCGTTCGCCCAGGCGTTCGTAGTATGTTACGGTGTCAGAACAGATTTTCACGGTCCAATCTCTATTAAATCAAGCAAATAAAGAAAACATAAGGTAGTTTTTCAACTCTCCTGTGGCCCCCAATCACGACGGATTCTTTGAAACAGCTGTTAGGTCTGCAAGAAACACGCTAGTCATGTTCTAGTTGAATCTCGGCTGATGTTTGAAGAGTTGACAACTTTCTATGTTAAGGTTGAAGCTAACGTGAACTCGCGGCCTTTATCTCAACGCACACCCTAAGGATATAGAGATTTTGACACCCAGTCATTTTCTTATCGGACAGCCGCTTGTAGCTCTTCTTGAATTTTTTTACACGAAAATTAATATGTCCCGTGTATCTCGGTATCAATTTAATAAAAAAATGTCCTCCGATAATTGATAAATTAGTACACGGATATGTTTATGATAAATTAGTTACACAAAACAGTACTCGCTACAGGTCTGTCTAGGAAATGTTTGAGGATATATATGTGGGTTTAATGGAAGACTTCAACGAAAAATTAGGTACAAGAGAGAACGGTGATCTAAAGGGCAAGGAAACACAAGGGGCCAGCAGCAGTCCGAATTCATGGAGTAAGAGGGACTCTATATGACGAACTCTTTCTTCCAAAAGCGGCCCCACAGGAAGTGGACCTAGTCGACCCCCGAGTGTTCAACAAAAAATGAGATTTACTTTATTTTGACGACTAGACAGCAACTGCTCAGTGATGTCTTACACAACATCAATACAGTTCGTATTGAGGAAGCAATTAAGCAGATCCATGGCTCCAAAGTCTTTTCTTTAGATCTGTCTGCCAGAAAGAGCCAACGTCAAGAGTTGAAGGTGAAGACCGAGGAGACCTGAGATTTTGAGTGAGATTTAAAAGTTCTATGGGCAACTGTACATATCATTGTTGGAGCCACATGCAAGTGTCAGTAACGATCCAAGAGTAAGTCTTATCTGGCACTCTTGCGATAATATTCCGGACGTCAGTCTGATAGAGAATAGAACGGCTCACCAGCACCTTAAAAACGGCAAGCCCCCGGGCGAGGATGGAATTACAGCGGAGTTTCTGAAACCGGGTGGAAAACCGTTACTTTAAGTCCTAAGAAGCTCTTTAATTCCGTCCTGCCTGGTGGCACTGCACCAGAGACGTGAAGCTGAAGTGTGGTCGTCTTGTTTTTCAAAAAAAGGTAACAACGCTCTCTAGAAAAACTACAGACCGATTTCCCTTCCGAGCCACGTCTACGTGCTATTTTCAAGAGTCGTTAGAAGAGGCGATATAGTCTTTATGGCAAAATTGATGAAGAACCTAAGCACTATCCTCATTGACCACAATAGTGCCTCTCAACGTATAGGTCTTAACGTCCATGTCACACTTATGCTGGTAGTTGTTAGGAGCAATAAGTTCGAAGTTGTTGAGGTGTACATGCCCCTAGCTGCCCCAATAAAGGTCAAATATTCCAGGGCCCAACAGCGGTATATTCGACGGACAACTAAGGGTGGGGCCCAACGGCCTATGGAGACTTATCATTCTACACAATAGATATAAGGCTAGGTAAATAAATAGTACGGACTTGGTTACGAGGCTAAGACTACCCCAAGGCTCGGTGAGGCGGTAGTGGTGTAGGTGCAAGTAAGTAGTATGTGTGGTAGTGTTTATATATGTGACCTGACCCAGCTGAGATGATCGGGCAGGGGCCTGGTCCGATGCTGCCCCACCATGTCATATCACTTCAGCGGACGTCACCAATTGACACTTCTTTCTTCATTTCACTATTTCAGTCTATCTACTTTATTGTACATTAAATTAACTTCAAACTCAACCAAATTCAACGTTCGTCCAAATCAAACACGTGACACCCGTCACAAATAACGAACAGACGTTCAAAGTTCAATATTCAAGGTTCAGTTCATGTAGCACCAAATTTCAAACAGGGAAGTACGCGATCTCTTCTCGAGTCACAAAGTTCAGCGTTACAGACAACAACTAAATTCCTTTGTACGATATTAAATACTACGCCCGCATTAAGACTCAAAATCAGCCTAGCTGACACGCAAACTAACTGCATAGTCAACACACAAAAAGCACTTAACGCGACGGTACAATTAAACATTAACTTTAACTTTAATCAGTCAAATTCAATACAAGCCTCTTGTCCGAAACGTACAACTTACACAAACTAATTCGAGGCGGTCTACTCAACCCAAATTCAATAGCAAATTAAACGCGCACAAAGACTCCAATTCTAGACGACAAAAACGATAACTGCTCGCGCGAAACCGTTGCAGCGGTCACAAAAAATCGCTAATCGACAGCACCGCTGCTTTCAAGATTAAACGCGCACAAATACTTAAATTCTAGACCACAAAACCAAAAAACCTGGTCGCGCAAAACCGTTGCAGCGGCCACAAAAATACGCTAATCGACAGCACCGCTGCTGCAAAGCTACTGACTCGCACTCACGAAGCCGAACGCCGGGAAGTGGCATTCCGCTGCCCCACCCCCACCCCCGGCGCCGCGCACGTTACCTAACACCATTGGGCAATGCACCCAGTCAAACGTGATTGGATGGCGTTTCAAAATGCCCAAATTTGGGCTTAAACATGAGGAGTATATTTACTTGGGACAAATAGTCTTACTAGACACATAAGTCCAACTACAAGTGAGAGGTCAATCGATGGAACCAACCCGGCTAGGCAGCATTCAGTAAGCTACGACACATTTTCGCGTCAAGATTACCTCAAAACTTGAAAACGAGACTGTACAACCAGTGCGTGCTGCCAGTGATGACTTATGGATCTGAGACATATTCCAATACTGCCGGCTGTATGAGGAATCTCAAGGTCGCTCAGTGAGCTATGGAGAGGGCTATGCTAGGGGTTTCTCTGCGTGATAAACTTAGAAATAACGATATTCGCAGTGGAGCTAGAGTGATCGACATTGCCCAACAGATTAGTCAACTGAAGTAGCAACAGTCCAGCCATATAGCTCGAAGATCCGACAACCGATGGAGAAAAGCGAGTACCGGTAGGCAAAGTTTAGGGCGACCCCCCAATAGATGGAGTAACGACCTGGTAAGACATGTAGGCAGTCGATGGATGCAGGTGACTTAGGACCGTGCTTTGTGGCATTCCTTGAGAGAGGCCTATGTTTAGTAGTGGACTTGTGAAGTTTTCTATTGATGATGATGATAATGAAGGATGATTTATCCCCTCTTCATTGAAAACGCGGTCAGTTAGTCAAATTTTTACTGGCGAGGACGGAATCGTAAGATTCACGGAAGTAAAGACTCAAAATGTTCTATTAGTTAGACCAGTTTCTAAGTTGTGTCGGTTACCTTTGGTGAGTGTAAGCAAAGAAGACTTTGCTTAGGCGGTGGGATGTTCTGGCATTACTGTTGGTTCAACTATTTGTATGCTCTGCACTGCAGCGTCATCTGCAATTCTAATTTCGGCAATCGGACCAGTCGGCTACGTCTCGCTTGGTTTACGCGGAGCACGCACCTCTTATTAAAATATACAGACAGAGAAATATATTAAATTGTTATTCGCTTTAATATACAGAACATCCGGTGGAACTTTGGACATTTACTTAAATGTGCTGTTAATCATCAACATTGTGAAAAAGATTACGATGATGGCAGCACATGACCTCTTCGCTATTGAAATCAGGTAATTCCACGACGTTTCAGAGGACTGTGAGGCAAAACTTCAAGCAAGCAAAACTGGGGATAACCTTGGTCAACTGTATTAGCTATCGAAGGCATGCATTAGTGCAAACAGTATAATTGGCGAGCTTTTTACGAGATAGTTATTGCATAAAAAATTCAAGAATTCATACGATATGTTAACAGTATTGCAAGAAATTTATGCGAGACCTCCACGGATGGTCTTGGATGTGGAAACGTGGTCTAAAACTAATCTTCCTAAATTCAATTCATACACGAAAAATCTACCAAAATATGAAAATAAAACTTATTTTATTGTTTAAACTATGCTTAACAATTCTTTTTCGATTTAAAAGAAAATTCGCTTACGTTTGGCTTCTTAATTAATAAGTTACTGGTTTGTCATCTTGCATAAGGCAACCTAATCCTTCTTTACTAGCATCAATTTGGGTAGATAATGGTAATGGACTATTGAATTTTACAAAATATATGCATTTCTTACACACTTCTTAAAATTATTGCTCGCTCAGACTTAGGTTAAACATGACTGATAACTTTTCTTAAATAAATAATAGTTGCTTGTCTCTCACAATTGAAATGAACTTTCTTATTCTTAACTTATAATGTTAAGGACCACTCTTATTTATTATTATTCCTGATTTAGTGACACATTTTAACAAGCCCTAAGTATTTTATTTGGTAGTTGGAGTCATTTTTTTTTTCAGTTGAACCAATTCAGTTAAATGTTTTTGTTTGCAACCTTATGTAAAATGGTTTGGTTTACGACAATATCCGCAAATTTTACCAAAAGCAGGACATTATCGAAGGCCATGTTCATTATAGCATTTCAAATAACGTTATAAACAACGTTTAAATTAATTAATTGTTTGATTGCCTTATTGTCTTTTTATTATAACTACTCAAAATGTTTTCTGTTTTAATCTATGATCACTACAGGTGGGAAAAGGCCCTTTTGACCATTTAGTTTACACGCTACGTAATTCCCTGGAAACTGTTTGTTGTAAGTATATTTTTATTTATATTTTTCTCATTTTATATCTAAATCTCATAGATGGCAAAATACTATCAAGTATATAACCGATATAAATATGCAGACTAGCATGAGAGGTATGAGATATCTGATAACGTGATCACCAATATTTCTGTCAAGCGTAGCGATTATGTTATTGCAGTCCCACAATACAAGCGGTCTATTTCCTAAAAGTACAGTGTAATATGCACGACATTTATATGTACACTATTGTTTTGTAGGGTATGCCAAAAATGCCAAAACTTTCAGAGTTAGGTTTGCAGGTTTAGAATATGCAATATAGGCGAATGATGAAAAAAATAAAAATAAAATAATTTTTATTAATAAACTGAACTGTTTGTCATTCACAAATATCTAACGCCAACTATTTTACTACGCATGCACACATTCCGCGCACACCTTTCCACACGCTTCCTATTCCGTTAATCGTTACAGATACCTACTGTCGCTTCTCTGGGCGATAGCTGACAGTATTGACCGCAAATATTATGTACGAGTGTGCATTATGTTACTGATGACGGAAAAAAGATATTCGTACGCAAATACTTCAAAATTATGAAATGGTACTTACGGTGTTATATTTAAGCAAAAAAGAAAATCTTATGTAGTGCGCAAATATTATACGACAGTGAGTTTTTACCGCGGCAAAAAATTTACGTACGTGTACGTGTAAATTAACGTAACCACCGAACACCGTACCAACCGAAGAACACTTGATAGCTAATAAAATTATTCATGTGGAGTGAGCGATAATTTAAACAGTGGTAGAGCCACGCGGCAGCTTTTGCTGTTGCACGGATGGGCCGGCTCGAACCGGGGTAGTACCACGACCTTACAGAATATCAGCGTGAAGTAGAGGCTTACCTCTGCGTTTCGCTTGTTGAGTGCAGGTGGCCGGAGGCACTTTTTACTGGAAACGAGGCATTCCATCTTACTCCTCACGGGTGACAACGCATCTGCATTTTTATTTGTAATAGAGGATAGATGTAGATGTCTATGGGCCGCAGCAACCACTTACGATCAGGTGGACAGTGTATTCGTGTTTCACCCTATTCCTATAAAAAAGAAAACAGTGAATATGAAGACATGTGGATTGCGCATGGAGGCCCTAGACATTTATATGTGGGCTCAAATAAAGAGTCATGTTGACGTTAAAGTGGCCAAAAGTTATGAAGATCGCTGCAGCAAATTTTTGCTGCATTCACAGAAGTTAAAAGTGCTCAAGAATAGTTAATAAGTTTAAAAAATAATTTACAAAAACTTTCTCGTCTATGCATGGAGAGAAACGTATTCCATTTTGAGGTGCCAATATTAGTTATTAATTTATTAATTTTATATATGATGATGATACTAATCCAGAAGGAAATGTAAAGAAAGAAATGGAACCATAATTTGCGTCGTGTAGTTATTTAATTAAGCATTAGCAATGAGCGTGTCTCTAAGTAGCATAGCAAAGCCCTCTCATTAGCTTGCTGAGCAACCTTGAGCTTCCTCATACGGCCAGCAGTAAAGGATTACGTTTCAGTTCCATAGGTCATCACTGGCAACACGCACTGGTTGTACAATCTAGTTTTTAAGTTTTGAGATACCTGACGAGAAGATAAGCCGTAATTACCCAAACGCTGACCAGCCGAGTTGAATGCGTCGATTGATCTCTCGGTTGAAGTTGGACTTACCTGGTCGGAATATTTGTCCCAAGTAAAAACACTCGTTAACAACTTCGAGCTTAGTGTCCCCAACAATTACCGGCATAGGTGTGACATGGACGTTACACATGTGACTTTTGTTTTGTCCATGTTCATCTTAAGACCTATCCGTTGAGAGACACTATTGAGGTCCGAGGAGACTCTATTCTGATTCTTAATCGTTTAGATTTAGATAGAAGTGTCTTGTGGCTCAAACATCTATTAAATATCAACGTGGATTATTGTGTGCTCGCTTGTCACTTTGCATTATCACCATTATTTTCATCACAGACATCAAACTCCACTGCTGAACATAGGCGATCCCCTAGATCGCCCACGCTTTGTAGGGGAGTTCCCAACCATTTTTTTTATTAGTAACTCGTAAGACCTTGCTGTTCTTCTCCTGGTTCTCTAACGCCTCTTAATAACCACGGGACGATTAAGGCTAGTGAATATTCCTTCACGGCTACTATTTGGTTCTTGTCATCATTATTATAATAATAAACTACGAAAAAATATTTAATTGGTAGATGCTACATCTATATTTTCTATCTTTTTTGTAGTAATTACAGACAATTTAAATGAAGACGTTTTCATTTTAGGTTTTAAAGCTTCGGCAAATATATTTGTTACAGTAACTACCATGGGAGTTGATTTGTGCGATGACAGCATTATGAATAGCCATTACGTGCAAGCAGTAAAGCAGATCTTAAGCATTATGATAGAAAGACTTCAAAAGTACTGGCTGCACAATAATTTTATCTACAGCTGGTCAACTTTAAAGAAGAAAGAAGATCAGTGTTTAAGAACATTGCATAATATGTCTAATAAGGTAAAGATAGATATCTTCTCAATGTTTTTACTTGCCATTTGGTAGCGGTGTAAAATATATCACGCATGAGGCAGTATATAATATAAATGGCCCCGAGTTCCCGGCGCCCATTTAATGGGGCAGGGGTGCGAAGAATCTCCAATAGTAAAACCGAGAACCGAGACAAGGGAGAGCGAATATGTTATGATGGGATGATGAGGTACGGATGAAGTTCGAAGCAAAGAAGATAACATGGCAAGATTAACCATCAACCAAAGGTGGTAATTGTTCTGGTATGGATGGTGAGATTGAAAGAAAAAAGGCGGTCTTTAAACATCTAAATAAGAGAGCAAAATAGGTACTAAAAGGAAAAATCAAGAAAGAACGAATGAGAATGTTAGAAAAATATCTGTTAACTTCCAAGCATATAATAAAATATTCTGGAAACTCATAAGAACTGCCAGTGAAAATTCAAAACATCCTACATTGATTTCTATACGAGACGATAATGGCTATATTTATTAATTCCTTAATATTATAATAACCATTTTTATATAAACTTAGATGAATAAAGTTTTTGAACGATGAGCAGGTAAAATTTTGTATATTTTCAGGGATCTTGTTTTAAAAGCTTATTTACAGATTTAATATTAGTTATTCTTGTAAAATTGCTATTATTTTTGTGAACGTACATAAATTTCTCGTAAATGTATTGAGAGGCCAAAGTTAATGTATTAATTTCTGTAATAACTTTTTGTGGGTTAGAACTCTTTACGTTTTAAATCTTAGATTGCTGTTATGGCCCTCTTTTTCAAAATAAATATAATTTCTGTATCTGTCGCGTCTCCCCATAGCAAAATAACATACTTTGCTATGATATTATGCTACAGAAAAACCTGAAGTAAACTAGTCTAGCTGTTTCAACGCTGATAAGATTTCTAATCTTTTTTACAGCATAATTATGGTGCAGAACTGAGCCTTGCTTTCTACTTTTGATATTATATGGGATCCCCATTAAAGCTTCGCGTCTAGTGTGATTCTAATAAAAACGGTAGTATCGACAAGACTCAGTTCCTCCCCATTTAAAATTACATAAGTATTTAAATGTTTGACATTTGGAGTCATGAAGATAATTTTGCTTACTTTTAGTCATAATGTTTGAGTAAGAATAATTTAAATTAAACATGTTACTTTATATTCTGCAAATTATCTGATCAGGTATTGCAAGCACGTAAGGCAGCGTACTTAAATAATAAGAAGAATGGATTAGAAGCTTCAAGCGGTACGTATATACATACATTAATAAAAAATAGTTCAATTTATGGTGTATAACGATTTTTGCATTGAGATTTTGATATGTGCTATTATCTTCTCATTTGAAGCGGTATCGAACCTCTTGTGATGGGACTACAGACCAAGTTAATGCATTGATTATACAATGGAAGACTACTGCATATTACTAATAGGCAGGCAATCAAGATTTCAATTCCACCAAAAATTATTTTGAAATCATAACATAATCACAAATCATAAAAACTTAACCACAAAAACATTATCAGAAATTACACCCACAAACATCACCTTTATAGCGTGCCTTAAGCAGAAAGCACGCATGTATGTTCTGCTAGGGATTTAGATAATTATATTCCTAAATATTCCTAAAAATTAAGATTTGAACGTTTTGTCGCATGAAATCGTATCTAGCAATCATATTATACATATAAATGACATAAAAGCATATTGTCAGAAAGATAAGTGATTGTTGAACTTATTATTATTTTTTAAATCGATTATTTACTATTTTTACATAAAAAAGGGGTTCCACACCATAAGCCACTTAGGCTTATGGTGTGGACGTTAATAAAGGACCGTAATTCTTGGAACCAACACGTATTTCTGGGCCTAGTGCGACCTGTATAGATAACATTTTTACAGATGTTAAGCCCTTGCATAAATCAATTATTCAAAATTTAAGTTCAGATCACTGTGGACAGTTAGTACCACTACCTTACATACACAAAAAACAGAAAAATAAGAAAGTTGTGTTTGTTCCAATAAATGAACATCGCTTGGAGAGGTTTAGAAGTAATATAATAAAAAGAATTCCATCACTTTCGTTTAAAAATAGTGCTAGTTATTTGTATGCTACATTATTTGAATTCATACGTTGTGAATTTAGTAGAATATTTACTTCTAAAACTTTCTCTTTTAACAGTCGCAAATCATTTAATGAATGGGCGACAGTAGGAATTTATAAATGTAGGCGAAGGTTATACGAGCTTTATGATGAAAGATCATATAATAGTAGTGTTATATTTAGAGATTATGTAAAAACATATTCTAAAAAATTTAAAAAGTGTGCTCCACTGCTAAGGCTTTACATTTAAGCAACAAAATTAAAACTGCATCCGACAAAATTAAAATGACCTGGAGAATAATAAATAGTGAAACGGGTAAGGTCAAACCGCGAAACTCGGATTTTCAATTAAATATTAACAATAATTTAACGCGATCTGATCCAGAAGTTGCTATGGCTTTTGAGAAACATTTTACTGATATTCCTTTTTTGACAACAAAATCATTAAATTCTTCTCCTACTGTCGCCGAATCATTGCTCAAACAAAATGTAAAGACTTGTTCAAATACTTTTAAATTCCATAGGGTACTGCCCAAAGATATCGTTAAATATTTTAAAACTATTGATGTTAAGAAAACGGCAGTGTTATGGGGAATTTCCGTTAAAGTTATTTTATCTATAATAGATACATTAGCACCTTATCTAGCCACTATATTTAATATAAGCGTCGAATCTGGTGTGTTTCCTGATTTAATGAAACATAGTAAAGTCATACCTATATTTAAATCTGGTAGTACATTAGACCCCACCAATTTTAGACCAATTTCTGTACTACAAACATTTAGTAAAATTTTTGAAAAAATTATTTTAGATCAGATGTTAAGTTTCTTCAATATTAATAAATAGCTACATAAAAATCAATTCGGTTTTACAAGGGGTCGCTCGACAACTGACGCTGGAGTTGAGCTTATTAAACATATTTTTTGTGCATGGGAGAATTCAGAGGATGCTTTGGGTATATTTTGTGACCTTTCCAAGGCCTTCGACTGTGTTCACCATGAGTTATTAATCAGGAAGCTACAGTACTATGGTGTCAAGAACATAGCGCTTAAACTTATTATTTCATATTTAAGTAATAGAAAACAGAATGTTATTATCAATGGTAAAAGTTCTTCCGGGTTATCTGTACTAATGGGTGTTCCTCAGGGCTTGATTCTCGGCCCATTCCTGTTTCTGGTGTATATTAATGACTTACCTCACCTTGTAGGGGATAGTCATGATATAGTATTATTTGCTGATGATACTTCCTTGATTTTTAAACTTAAACGTCAATCATTTAAATGTGACGAAGTGAATAATGCTATATCAAAATTAGTGCATTGGTTTAACGTTAATAATCTGCATTTGAACGGAAATAAAACTAATTGTGTTAAATTTACAACAACGAATGTTAAAAATCTGAATACCAATGTGTTTTTAAATGGGGAGGAATTGAGCCCTGTTGTATCCACTGTTTTTCTTGGCATCACTCTTGACGCAAAGTTTCAGTGGGGCCCCCATATATCCAAATTAGCAAGCAGACTAAGTTCTGCAGCCTATGCTGTAAAAAAGATTAGAGGTCTCACTAGTGTCGAGACAGCTAGATTAGTTTATTTTAGTTATTTTCATAGCATAATGTCTTATGGGATTTTGCTATGGGGAAATGCGGCTGATTCAGAAACTATTTTTGTTTTACAGAAGAGGGCCATTAGAGCTATTTACAATATAAAACCGAGAGAGTCTCTTACAGATAAATTTAAAGAAATTAATATATTAACTTTGGCCTCTCAGTATATTTACGAAAATTTAATGTATGTTCACAAAAACAAAGATAGTTTTAGTAAAAGAAGTGATATACATTCTGTAAACACTAGGAACAAACACAAGCTAATGATACCAGTTTCTCGACTCCACAGAGTCAGTAATTCATTCTTGGGGCAATGTATACGCTATTACAACAAGGTCCCGGAAAGTGTACAGGTTCTCTGTATTACCAAGTTTAAATGTTTTATTAAGTTGAAACTGTATAAAAAGGGTTATTATAGTATAAATGAATACATGGTTGATAATAACCCCTGGGAATGAGGTGATCGCTTCCAAGCAGTTTCTAAAATAAATTTTGTAAATAGTTCGTAATCATTTATATTGTAAAATTTATTTAAAAAAAAAAGTCCCGCTGGGTTTCTTGCTGGTTCTTCCCAGAACAGAGGGTTTTTTTCGAACCAGTGGTAAAGTAAAAAATGACTTTCAATAAGAATTACACATGTAATGTATATTGAATAAAAAATATTCTATTCTATTCTAAATATTCTATTCATCAGGTGGACTGTGTGTTCGTTTGTCACCCTATCCTATATATATATATATATATATATATATATATATATATATATATATATATATATATAGATATTAAATTAAAAGAAATATGCGATCGGTATTTTACTGAACATGACCAAAACCTATGACCGAGTTCAATTTGACATACTTTTATGGAAATTACACGTAATGGAAGTAAGACGCCCAACCTATAACTGGTTCGAGTCATACCTTACTAATATAAAGCGGTGTGTAGAGATAGAACTCCATGGACTAGCCACTGGAAACATATTCAAAGTCAGATCTAAGCACCGATCACCAAATCAATACTCATTTGCACAAAAATAATCCTTACGTACCTTGTTCGCCGATGATGGGATGACTACAGAAAATGTAATAATCCCATTTGTATTTCTATTATTCAAATATCTGTATTATTCAAATATCTGGATAGTGTACTAACAATAATCTCTGAATGGTTAAAATATCACACAAAAACTAATATAATACAGTTCAAGCCGTATCAAAAATACACCGTATTTACTTCAAAAAGATAAATAAAAGTAAATAAACATAATTGAGAAAATGCGAAAAGGACCGGACTAATTGATAGCACCGATTTTTAATCCAGCCAATCATAACCCGAGGCAGCTCAGGGGCAGAGTGCACGCTCGCTCTTAATATCCAAAAATTTAAATGAAAGAAGAAAAGAAAATATATAAATAGACTTATAGTAGGATTAGCCGTTTTATAAGAAAAACTACGGTAAATAAATACACAACCCGTAAAGATTTAAAAAAAAAATAGGCTACCACAATCATAATATGCAATTTCCCTATTTCAATTTTGTTACTTTTACATTTAAAAATAAAATTTGCAAATTGAGCCAGGATTTAGTAAAAATTAAAGAGCCAATCCCTCGTTATCTATGAAACACAGTTAAATTTCTAGTAAATTTATTAATCGTTAAATTCAGAACGTATTGTTATAAATTATTTATAACAAGATTGTTGTAAGGCTACGTAAGGAAGGCGGTAGGTTGTACCAACACATTTTTTTTTTAAAAAAACATTGTTGCATTATATTTAAAACTTTCTCTGAATGCAGTCGAGCGGCTGAAAGAATATACTCATTTATATGAACTAAAAAAGTAGCAAATTCTAAAACGGTCATGTGTGCTTCCCATGCCCAAACATGGCTTAAGTACGACATTGTATTGTGGGAAAACAGCATAGACGTAAATAAATTATTTATTCAACAAAAAAATGTATTCGCAAACATAGATATCACTGAAGGATGAAAACCCACTTAATTTCATTAAAATATTAACAATTACATCTATATAATATATACTACAGTGAAAGGGGTGGCAGTTCGATTTCAACGTCAATCCCTCAACTGAAAGGGTGCATTAAACGGGGATTAGTCATTCATTGACGTTCTACCCCGAAACATAAATCACACCACGTTGGGTTCGGGAGCAACGAGGTGGATATGAACCCGTGAAGGAGTGCCACACGAAAACGTCTGTTGCCCTTTCTTATAAGAAAGGTTAAGCAACTAAGATTACGGGTCCCTCTACAGTGGTCCCGGTCTTGCCATCATGGAGCTATGGACTGTATCTTGTTTATATACTTGGAAGGTGCTTTAGGAAACGAAACAGTGATTTATCTTCTAAATTTCCCCATAACAGTGCAAAGTTGAAACTTTCACCACTTTCCTATCATTTTCCTGTCGGCATTTTACCCCATATTTTTATTTCTATAAAGCATATCGTTACACAATTTTATTTATTATAATCACACACAAAGTCTTATTATTATGACATACATTACATCATTATCACATAAAAACACATTAAGTTTTTCATTAAAATATATCAATTTTACAGAATATTTTCAAAGTTAGAAATCTTAAATATCTAACACAAAAGGTTGAAATAGCAATCTTTATTAATAAACATGAATAACTTAACTAATAGAATAGTTTCATGCACAATTTTAAAGATATTTTACACTTTATTTCGAATTTAATTTTTTTATATAAATCTATTATTATTTCACTATATTTAACACATATTTAGTTACTTTTTAACACAAAACTGTTCTTTTTAGCACTCACAATAAACCTGAAACATTTATTACTTAAATCTACTTATATTACTGAATTTTCACAGATCAATAAAGTTTATTTATATTTTTATTTTAAGTTATTTGGACGCTTAGTTTAGACCTTTATTACATCGGTAGTAGGCTAGTGCATTCCTTGTCTAAATTACAGCTATCTTTGTTCATTATGAAACATTATTTGTTTACATATGCTATCATAATCAGCCATAATGAATCTTATCACAAGCCGAAATATATTTTCATCTAAAATAAGCATCTAATTTAATATACTATATTCGTATAACACAGCTGATTACTGTGAAACACATAACTCTAAATTAATCTAAAAACAAACTTTTATGAAGTTAACTTTCGACCGGGGAATCGAACCCCGAACTTTCGTTCGACATTATATTGAATCTATTTATATTCAACATAGATTATCTCTTTAAATCGAAGTGCCTTATATAATTTAATACCAATGTTTTCGACTGTAAAACTGTTTATTTTTTCTAAGGAATGAAAATGATAAACTATTTTTAAGCGCGTCGCCAACATAGAGGTATACACATTTATTAAAAAGCATGTGCACCTCTTTCCAATATACTCCCGGCCTCATTTTTACGTCGTAATAATAAATTAGCTGCACATACCACAAAATTACAAATAGTCAGATCAGGACCGTATGGTACGTGTGAAGATATATATAATAAAATCCCTTAATTTCTACAAAAAGAAGAATCACTAAATAAATTTCAAATACAGCTTAAAAATATTTGTTTGAAAAAGGTTTATATTCGTTGTCAGAGTTTTCCTATATATACGTTTTTATTATCATTGTATTAACAAATATTGCAAACGTTTATTGAATCTAAAGGTTATATTTAGTTTTAGTAAATAAAATTTGTAATCCATTTTTCTAACATATCAGTTTAAATTAACCACATGTACACAATAAAATGTTGGAGATTGAGTTAGTAAAATGAATGTGGTTTGTTGAAGCTGGAAAAATATTTCGGATTACGCATCCAATGTATGTCTCTAGAGCCATGAATTCCTCCAAAACCCAATATACGGTTTTAATGGGAGACTTCAATGCAAAACTAGGCACAAGAGAGAACGGCGAGCTGAAAGTAGGGAAATTTGGAATAGGGCAACGGAACCCAAGGGGCCAGCAGCTGGCCGACTTCATGGAGAAAGAGGGACTCTTTATGATGAACTCTTTCTTCCAGAAGCGGCCCCACAGGAAGTGGACGTGGTCGAGCCCCGACGGTTCAACAAAAAATGAGATCGACTTCATTATGACGACCAGACGACAACTGTTCAGTGATGTCTCCGTGATCGCGAGGGTGAAAACTGGTAGCGATCACCGAATGGTTAGAGGCACACTGAACCTAAACGTTAAGGTCGAGAGGTCTCGTCTAATGAAATCAACGCTCCGTCCCCCTTGTGCTCTGTTCCAAAGTCCCGAAACCTTTTAGCTCGAGTTACAAAACCGTTTTCAGTGCCTGGAAGAATGCAATGAAGTGGACGATATGAATGACAAGCTCGTAGAAACTGTCCATGCGTTCGGAGCTAAGTTCTGCAAGACCCGCCGCAGAAGAACACAAAAACTCTCCGATCACACTCTTAATCTCATGGCTGTTAGACGGGAGATGAATCTACATTCTTCAACAGACTTGACAGCATACAGGCATCTGAACAGACAGATCTCCAAATGCATGCGGCGGGACTTACGCAACTTCAATACAGCTCGTATTGAAGAAGCGATCGAGGGGAATCAAGGCTCCAAAGTCTTTGCCAGAGATCTGTCTGCCAGAAAGAGCCAACTGTCAAAGCTGAAGACAGAGTGTGGCAGCATCGTTTCCGGGACACCTGAGATTTTGAGTGAGATTGAGAGGTTCTATGGACAGCTGTACACATCATCGTTGGAGCCACACGTAAGTGTGAGTAACGATCCAAGAGCGAGTCTCATCCGACACTATTCCGAAGATATCCCGGACGTCAGTCTGAGCGAGATTAAAATGGCTCTCCAGCACCTTAAAAACGGTAAGGCCCCAGGCTAGGATGGAATTACAGCGGAGCTTCTGAAAACGGGTGGAAGACCGGTACTTGAAGTCCTTCAGAAGCTCTTTAATTCCGTCCTCCATGGTGGCATTACACCGGAGGCGTGGAGCAGAAGTGCGGTGGTCTTGTTCTTCAAGAAAGGCGACAACGCTCTTTTGAAGAACTACTGATCGATTTCCCTACTGAGCCGCGTCTACGTGCTGTTTTCGAGAGTCATTACGAACCGTCTCGCGCGCAGACTTGACGACTTCCAGCCTCCCGAACAAGCCGGTTTCCGAAAGGGCTTTAGCACCATAGACCACTTACATACCCTTCGGCAAATTGTACAGAAGTCCGAAGAGTACAATTTGCCACTATGTCTGGCGTAAGTGGACTATGAGAAAGCCTTTGATTCCGTCGAAATTTGGGCAGTGCTGCAGTCCCTTCAGCGGTGCCAAGTTGACTGTCGGTATATCGAAGTGTTGAAGTGCTTGTACAGTAGGGCTACGATGGCTATCCGAATACAGAACCAGAGTACGAAACCTATCCAATTGCAGAGAGGTGTTAGACAGGGTGACGTCATATCCCCGAAACTCTTCACCGCTGCATTGGAAGACGTTTTCAAGTTTCTGGACTGGATAGGTTACGGTATCAACATCAATGGCGAGTACGTCACTCACCTTCGATTTGCCGACGATATAGTCCTTATGGCAGAATCGCTGGAGGACCTAAGCACTATGCTCAATGACCTCGATAGTGTTTCCCAACGGATAGGTCTTAAGATGAACATGGACAAAACAAAGATCATGTTCAATGTCCATGTCACACCT